ATGGAACTTTATTAAAAACTTGCATAAACCAGACAAAATAAACGAATTTATGACACAATTAGAAGTTAATGGTAATGATGTTGTAACTGATATGGAGACATAGTTACAAGGAGATCAATGCTGGCAACTAAATATTCAGGGGTATGTGACTTTTTAAAAGGACATGCATGCAGTAAAGTGTGATGGTGTAGCTTTGATAGTGCAAAATGAATGAGTACAATAGCAAGAAATGATCTTGGATCAGAAGATGTAGAATGCACGTGGATGGAGGTGAGAAATAACAAGGGGAAGAAGATACTTCTTGTAGTTTATCATTGTAATAGCAATAACTATACTGTAGGACAGAGATTAAATCAAGAGATAATGAGGAGGGCATGTTAAAAAGGTAGTACATTAATCACAGGTGGCTTTAATCTTTATGTAGATTGGGAGAATCAAAGTGGAAGGTGGAGCCATGAGGAAAAATGTCATAACGTGTCTACAGGACAGTTTCCAAGAACAATATGTGGCTAATCTAACAGGGATCAGGTTATCTTGGATCTCAAAATGTGCAATAAGACAGATTTAATGAATGATCTCAGACTAAAAGATCCGTTAGGAAACAGTGACCATAACATGGTAGAATTTAGCATTCAGCTTGAAAGCTAGAATTCTGAGTCGAAACTAAACTTGCGCTGAACTTAAATAAGGTGAATTACAAAGGAATGAGGACAGAACTGGATGGAGTGGACAGGGAAATAAGTTTAACAAGAAAGATGGCTGATGAACAATGGCAAACATTTAAGAAAACAGTCCATAGCTCACAAAGGTGAGCAAGAAGGATTATAGGTAGAGGATAAACCAGTCATGGTTAACAAAGGAAGTTAAGAATAGTATCAAATTGAAAGAAAAAGAAACATAAAATATGACAAGTCATAGTCTTACCAGGCTCTAGGGCTGCTCTCTAATTAGAAAGAGAAAGGACCAGCAATGGTGGTTTAACATGAGGGTCACCATACCTCAGGTGAGGGGAGTGGTTGTGAAGGAGAGTCTTTCATAGTAACCTCAGCCAGTGAGGGAACTGAACCCATCCTATTGATATCATTGTACATCACAAGCCAGCTATTCAGCCAACTAAACTAACCAACCCCCACCATAGCACAACGATTAGTGGTAAGCTAGAAGATTGGGAAAATTCTAAAAAAACAACAAAAGTTGACAAAAAGGAGGAAGAAAATAAACTTTGAGTTTAAATTCACTTATAATAGCAGGAAGGGTTTCTTTAAATATATAAAGAGGAAGTGAGATACCAAAGTGATGACAATCCTTTTCGAGAATGAAACTGGGTCATAAATAATGGGGAACCAGGAAGTGGCAGAGGAGTTGAATAAACACATTGCATCAGTCCTCCCAGTAGAAGACATAAGATACTAAATATCAAGGGGGAAGAAATAATTACAATACCTATCACTACAGAAAATGTACTAGGAAAATTAATGTGGCTAGTTCCTGAACCTGATAGGTTGTACATGAGGATTTTAAGGAAGTAACTACACAGATAGTAGATTAACTAGTAGCAATCTTCCAAGTATCCTTAAATTCTGTAAAGTTGCCAAAGGATTGGAAAACTGCCAATGTAACGCCCTTATTCAAAAAGGAGGGAGACCAAAAACAGGTAATTACAGTATTGCTCAACATCTGTCATCTGGAAAATGTCATAGTCTATTATAAAAGGTGCAATAGCAGAACATTTAGAAATATATTATATAATTGTGCAGAGTCAACATGCCTTTATGAAAGGGAAATCATGCTGAACAAATTTAGTAGAATTCTTTGAAAAGGTAACAAGCAGGATAGATAAAAGTAATCCAGTACATGTAAAGCATTTTGTTTTCCAAAAAGTGTTTGTTAGGTTACCACGTGTAAGATTAGTCAATAAGATAAGAACAACTGGTGTTGTGGGCAGTACACTTGCCTGGATAGAGGATTGACTAACTGATAAGAAAACAAACAGTTGGAATAGCAAGAGCTTTATCTGCATGGCAACCTGTAAATTGTAGGGTAACACAGGGATCAGTGCTGGGGCCACAATTATTTACAATCTATCAGGCCATCAGGGAAGCAGGCCATTTGGCCCACCAGGTCCACACTGACCGTCTGAAAGGCATCCCACCCAGACCCAATGCCTACCCTATCACACATTTCCCATGGCTAATCCACCCAGCCTGCACACTATGAGCAATTTTGCAAGGCCAATCCACCTAACCTGCACATCTTTGAACTGTGGGAGGAAACTGGAGTGCCCAGAGGAAACTCACACAGACACAGGGAGAACGTGCAAATTCCACACATACAGTCGCCCAAGGCTGGAATTGTCCCTGGTGCTGTGAGGTAGCAGTGCTAACCACTGAGCCACCCCCATGTCACCCCCTATATTAATGACTTGGATAAAGGAAGTGAATATACTGTTGCCAAGTTTGTGGATGACATAAAAGTAGAATGGAAGGCAAGTGATGACAGTGACAGAAAGAGTTTACAGAGGGATTTAGGGGTCCTCATGCATAAATTGCAAAAAATCGAGTGTGCAAGTGTAAAAATAGGGAAGTCTTGCTAAAACTATACAAGGCCCTAGTTAGACCATCCTTGAATATGGTGAACTGATTTGATTCTGTTATTGAAAGGAAGATATATTGGCATTGGAGGCAATCCAAGAAAGTTCACCAGATATGGAGGGAGTTTATGGAAGTTGAGCGAGTTGGGCCTGTATTC